TGGAAAAATTTTAGGAATTGAATTTAAAAGGTTATCAGGAATTTTTCCGGCTACTTGTGGTCCTTCTTGTGAGGCACTTTTGGAGGGGTCTTTAATACCTTCCTCGGGTTTTGCCCTGTCTGCTGCTGCCATCTACTTCCAAGCTGTACCAGGCCCCAATATCACAGGAATCAACTGGCAAAGGTCAGGGGGTCCTGGGTCATAAGCTCCTATGAGGATTCTAAATTCCTTAGTACATTTTTGAGGATTTTCCCTTGGGATCAGAAAAATCCTTCACAATGGCTGCAGGCTCAGTTTTAGACCATGGAGTGAAAGTGGTTATAGCAAACAGGCCTGGCTGATCAGAAGGCCTCACTTGGTAAGGCGTCTAACTTCCTTTTTTTTAAAATCATCTTCAGGGTGAAAGGGTTATTTTTTTATTTATTGAGACAGAGTCTCACTCTGTCACCCAGGCTGGAGTGCAGTGGCGTGACCTCGGCTCACTGCAACCTCCGCCTTCCGGGTTCGAGTGATTCTCCTGCCTCAGCCTCCTGAGTAGCTGGGACTGCAGGGGCACCACCATGCCCAGCTAATTTTTGTATTTTTAGTAGACATGGGGTTTCACCATGTTGGCCAGGCTAGTCTCAAACTCCTGACCTCAGGTGATCTGACCACCTCGGCCTCCCAAGGTGCTGCAATTATAGGCATGAGCCACCATGCCTGGCCTGAAAGGGTGATTTAGCAAAAAGTTTTCTGGACTCAGCGTATGTAGGTGGAGAAGGATAACGAGGGAACAGCCGGGGTGAGTCCAGCCCGCGCGCCGCGCCCTTTTGCCATGTCCTTAGTCTGCTGCTTCAGGTTTCCATTTGCTTTTTGCAAATAATCTTTTAAGGCGTCAATTTTTGATTCATTTAGTCTTTTAGAGGCCTCTGCATACCAAAGAAAGAATACGTCCCACTGTTTTTGTGGGGTTTTTGATCCCTCTTTTTCTAATAGCCCTAACAAATAAACAATTTTTTCCAAATTACAACTTCCCTGTTGCAGCCATCTTAACGATAAGCTTTCTTTAGTTAGGCTAACCCATTTTTCTAAAACTGCACAAGTTCTGGGCCCATAATTTTTACGCATAAAATTAGCTGCAGTCCCAGAAGGGGGAGTCCCAGACTCCTTGGATCTGAGCTGGTTCCAGCACTTGGAGTCGGGGCAGCTGCAGGTGCTAGGTTCCATGTTGGGGGCCTGGCGGCCAGAGGGAAGCTTCAGCTTTGCAGTGGTCACAGCTGCGGGGTGATTGGGTGTTCTAAGGGTGCCCTTTGGCACAGGCAGCAGTGACCCATACCTGGGGAGGTGTGAGGGAAGTGCACAGAGGGCAGTCGTCCCTTGGTATCAGGGCTCTGTACCCACGGGCAGTGCTCCTTGGAAAAAGTCAGCTACTTCTTTGAATGCTGGGGTGCAAAAGACACCTAAGGCAGTGAGTAGTCCACAGAGGCCAGGTCAGCCTGGTGACCAGAAGGTGTCCTGCCCAGCAGCAGGAGAGGTTCAGTGTGAAGGTGGAATCTGGAGGTGGCCTGGGCTGACAGGTGGGTGGAGAGTGTCTGGTTGACCTTGTCCACTCCAGTCTCTAAGTGCTTAGCCGCTCTGCAAGTGAGACCACAGGAAGGGAAGCCCTGAAGCTGGGTGGTGCCAGGAGTTGATTAGAAGATGCCCTTGCAGGCACGGCAGCTCATGCCTGTAATCCCAGCACTTTGGGAGGCTGAGACAGAAGGACTGCTTGAGCTCAAGAGTTCAAGACCAGCTTGGGCAAGATGGTGAAACCCTGTCTCTACAAAAAATACAAAAAATTAACACATGTGGTCCCAGCTACTTGAGAGGGTGAGGTGGCGGGATCGCTTGAATCCATGAGGTCAAGGCTGCAGTGCGCCAAGATGATGCCACTGCACTCCAGCCTGGGTGACAGAGTAAGACCCTGTCATAAAGCAAAGAAACAAAACGAACGAAAAGCCCCCAAATCCCCATGAAGTTAGCAGATGGAAGCAAGTAATGACGATCAAAGCAGAGATAAATGGGACGGAGGGCGGAGGAGCACTAGAGGAAATCAGTGAAGACTCGTTCCTTCTGTGAAAGGTTTACGCAATTGAGAAACCTTTAGCAAATTGACTAAGAAAAAAAAAAGAGAAGATTCAAATTACTAAAATCAGAAATGACAGTGTTTCATCACCAATGACCCCACAGAAATAAAAAGGATTTATAAAGAGAATACTAGGAACAATTGTAGGCCAACTAGTTGGTTAACGTAAATGAAATGGACAAATTCCTAAAAACAAACACACCTGAGTCAAGAAATGGACAATCTAAACAGACCTGTTGGGAGTGAGGAGATGGAGTCAGCGATCAGAAACTTCCCAACAAAGACAAGCCCAGAACCAGGCGACTTCACTGGTGAATCCTCCCATTGGACGTGTAACACCAATCCTTCTCCGGCTTCTCAAAATCTTCACTATAACACACCACCTCCCTAGAATGAAGGGAAAAAGCCACCATCTCAATTCATGCAGAAAAAGCATTTGACAAAATCCAACAATTCCTGATAAGAGCACTCAGTAAAAGAGAACCAGAAGAGAACTTCGTCAACAGGATACAGAGTACTTATGACAAGCTCACACCTGCTGGCTCAGGGGTGGAACACTGAGCGCTTTCCTCCTAAGATGACGAACAAGACGATGAGCATGCTTGCTTTCACCACGTCACTCCAACGTCATGATAGAAGTTTGGCCAGAGCAATTAGGCAAGACAAAGACATAAAGCCACCAAAATTGGAAAGGAAGAAGTAAAAGTATCTCCATTTTTTTTTTCTGAGACAGAGTCTCGCCCTGTCGCCCAGGCTGGAGTGCCGTGGCACGATCTCAGCTCACTGCAACCCCACTTCCTGGGTTCAAGTGATTCTCTTGCCTCAGCCTCCCAAGTAGCTGGGATCATAAGCGCCCCCCCCACACACACACACCCGGCTAATTTTTGTATTTTTAGTAGAGACGGGGTTTCACCATATTGGCCAGGCTGGTGTCGAACTCCTGACCTCGTGATCCGCCCACCTCAGCCTCCCAAAGTGCTGGGAATATAGGCGTGAGCCACCGTGCCTGGCCACGTATCTCTATTTATTGATGACATGAACTTATGTGCAGAGCATTCTGTGGAATAAAAATAGTCTTAGAGTCAATAAACAATTTCGGCAAAGTTTCTGCGGAGATGAGGAACTCACGTACAGATTAGTGGAATACAAGTGAGAATCAGGAAATAAAGCCACACATGGATGTCAGCTGATTTTCAGCACGGGCTTCAGGATCATTCAATATTCAATGAGGCTGAAACAGTCTCTTCCACAAATGATGCCAGGAGAACTGCATATCCCCAGGCAAAAGATGGAAGTTGGAGCCTTACCTAATACCATATAAAATATTGACTTAAAATGAATTAAAGATCTGCGTTTGAGAGATAAAACCTTAACACTCAGCTGGGCATGGTGGCTCATGCCTGTAATCCCAGCACTTTGGGATAATGATTAGAGGGTGACTTGAGGCCACGAGTTCAAGAGCAGTCTGGGCAACAGAGTAAGAACTCTACAAAAATAGATAAATACACAAATAAAAATAAACTAGTCAGGTGTGGTGACGTGCGCCTGCAGTCCCAACTGCTCAGGAGGCGGAGGTGGGAGGATTGCTTGAACCTGGGTTGTTGAGGCTGCCGCGAGCCGTGATCGTGCCATTGCACTCCAGCCTGGGCAGGCAATAGAGCGAGACGCTGTCGCAAAACAAAAAAGTGTGGTCTGTCCATACAGTGGAATATTATTCAGCCATAAGGAGAGATGAGTTATTTCTATATGCTACAAAATGAATGAAGCTTGAAAACATTTTACTAGGCCAGGCGCGGTGGCTCAAGCCTGTAATCCCAGCACTTTGGGAGGCCGAGGCGGGTGGATCACGAGGTCAAGAGATCGAGACCATCCTGGTCAACATGGTGAAACCCCGTCTCTACT